AAAAAAATAGATTTATCCTAAAAAGAAAGACCTGTTGCAAAGGAGTCATCTGATCCTGATCAGATGAGGTCGGTACTAGAACAGATGCATCGAAACCTTCAGAAGTGGCTGGTAGGCCGTGATAGATGTTGGTTGGGTCTTGCGTGGAACCCATCAAATAGTTACTGTAACAGCGTGATTGAAAGAGGTTGGGATTTAGTGATGGTCGTGACATTGTCACCGCCTACCTGAACATGTCGTGAGGTCGCATCAAAGGATTTGTGATGTTCACTTTTACATCCATATCAGCCAGAGCTGCTTGAGCGGCTCGTGCTTGAAATAGTGGATCATCGAACGAGCCGAACAGCGAGTTGTTGAACTGAAATTGCTAAAGCCGAATCAGAGGGTTAATGATGAAAGAGTTGAAAGAGGTGCTAATTAGGTGAGCAAGGGGCAGCTCAAAGTGCACACACGTAGGTTGTGGGGGCACATACGGAATCGATGCTGTCGGGGTGTGTGGATACGAATGTGAAAACATCTGCTACCGTAGGCTGTTCGGGAAAAGGAACAGCAGCTAGGTTAAGCATGTGATGGAAAAAGAGGTTCTGTGTTAGTCAGGTGCCTTGACGAATGGAACGGGAGAAGAAGAATTTTTTAAATGAAAAATGTCACTTCTCTGATTTTTTTGAGAAAAAGCTCATTATATCCCTTATAATGCTCAAATATATCCTAACAAGCCTCGCTATATCTTATCTCTATAAACTGAAAGTCTCCAGGAGCAGCTTCAACTCTAATTTCAAATCGGCCAAAAGTCGCCGTCTCTAGAGCTTGCGAATTCACATTTCTGATGCAGTGTTAGTGAATAATTGACTAATGTTATTAATTAAGTATCAAGTGTTGTTTTTCGTCACTTGTAAATTTATGAGCGGAATCAATTTTTAATGCAGCGTCGGCCGTAAAATACGCAATGAATTTGAATAATACATATCGTATCGAGACAATAGGAAGGCGAGAAAAGGAGGCAACAAGACAATGAAAGTATGGAAATTATAATTTGAGGAGGGCGGAGGGGGAGGGGATAGATAGATACGGATTTTATATTCGTGAGTCGCTATGATAATTGAATGATCTTTATGTCTTCACGGCTGTACTTCTCTATTTTTCACATTTCTTGTCG